AGAGAGAGAGAGAGAGAGAGAGAGCGAGAGAGACAGAGAGAGACAGAGAGACGATAGATCGGTGTGATTACAGGCGTCAGTAAACACGCATGTTGTGCTTCATGTCTAGCAGCAGAGATCGGGTGGAATGAAGTGGAATCATGTGGAATCGAAGACGTGTTTTTCCTTATATTCTCTCTGCGCAGTAAGCACGCATTGTTGAGAAACCCAAGTTAAGAGGGGCTGTCTACAAATCTTAATCTCAGACTTATTAACACACGCAGGTGTGTGCACGCACGCACGCACACGCGCACGAGCACTCGTCGCCAGTTGCTTCTTTGGTTGTTGGCAAAATCCGAGAGCGCTGTTGAACTTTGCATGACTTTTAGCTGCAAGCTTGAGTTAGCCATAATCCCCATGATTCTGCTCACACACGCACACACTGTCACCGACACACAATCACTGTCACTGTCACACACATATGCACTCACGCACACATGTGCACTTGCACGCACGCACGCACGCACACACTGTCACCCACACACACATATTCACTTGCACGCACGCATGCGCGCACGCGCGCACCCACCCACATAGCTGGCTGAGGTTACATGTGCAGCAAAAACATAGATCCCTAGAATGTAGCGCAGCAATATTCTGAGTGGACTTATGTAATCTGATTCTCCCTCCATGCTCGCCCATTCACCCCGGGGGTATGTGTGCTAGGGGTCTTGTGTCGTGCACATGCACGGGGTTCACAGTAATAAACAAGAGCAATCGGAGATAGCAAACTTCTGCCACAGCATAACAATCCCCCCATCTTGCTGGTACACCCAACACCCAATATAGTTTGATGAAATTTTCAGAAATTTGAGAACCAACCAACAAATAAACTAACAGGGGCGAAAACATAGCCTCCTTGACGGAGGTAATGAAGGAAGGCATTTTTAATCACTTGTTCTGCGCTGTGCGTGCTTATGCGTGTGGGATTAGAACAGAGCGTTCTGGTTGTGTTGGGTTACGGAAGTGAGCTTATAATAACGACATGTAATTAGAAATATATCCCCTATAAACTGTAAACATTTCTATTTAGTATAATTGCATGCATAATTTAACTAAAAAAACAATAATTCGAATAATTAATCTACAACATTGCAATCCTTCTGTTAGTTATAGTTTATAATTTATAGATATATTATAAATGAATTATTGTTTTATATTAACGTGCCACGTGAGATTTTTAGTGCTATAAGCATATAATAGATATATCTAACTGGGAATGTATGTTTCTTTCACGTTTCTCTATGTGATTCACTATTGCTGAGGTGCAAAACATGTTCATGTTAGTGCAAAATTTGCGTGATTACAACGCATTACTTTTATTAACTAACCATATTTGGAACTTTGTTGTTTTAGTTTGAAAAATCGCATGGACAAGCATGCAAAAGAGGATATTGATGTCGTGCTGCCGCAGGCTTTGGTGAGTGTCATCAATCTTTTAGCTTATAATCTTTTTGGTGTGTACATGTGCTACATGTTGGTATAAACCCGGCACTAATATTCCATGCATTGTCCCATGCCATATCTCATCTAAACTGAGATGTGCTATGAATTGCTATAAATTGCTATATATATATATATATATATATATATATATATATTCACAAGTATAATAGCTAGATCAGTGATCACGCATGCAGCTTAGACGTATTTGCGTGTCTTCGTCACTGTGTTGGATGGGATGGCGCGTAGAGTGAGTGTTTGTTTCATCGTTTCTTTGATCGTGCGTAGTTTGTATTCGTATTATCGTTATATCATTTAGGACTTTAGGTAGTCATGCGCTCATTTATTCTTTCCATGATCTACATTCTACAGTATTCTTCTGCTTACTTTCTTACAAGTACTGACTTCCTTAAGTGTTGACGTTAGCATTTAGTTGCTAGCATAACAGCTGCGATAGCAATGAGACAACCATTATTTAAAGCAAACTTCGTGATAATGCGTTATCAGACTGATTAAGCTGGGAGCACTGTGCTTGAGCAATTTCGGTTATTCACCTTACAGCGTGGGTTCTTAACCTGGGGTCCGTGGATAGGCTTCAGGGGGTCTGTGAACCAGGTGCATGCAAAGTTTTGTGTTCATGTGCATTTTCTGGTGAGAGGTTCGTAGCTTTCACCAGATTCTCAAAGGTGTCCATAACTCAAATAAGGCGTTTTGCCCTTTGCCCTTTGAAAAAGGCCTTTGAACCATTTTGCCTTACAGTATTTACTTTTCAGTTATAATCTAACCTATAGACTAGCAAGTAAACACTGAAATGATTGACTGAAAACTTGATTATGAGATATTTACGTGTCAGTATGAATGGCACCAACTGTTTAAATGTTGTTGAATACATCGGTAGCACGTCTCTCGCACCTGCTTTTGCAGTCAACATGCCTCATTTAAAAAAAAAAATAACAACATCGATGTGTGTTTGATGAGATGCACGGTAACATTTTTGTTGACTGTCTCTAAACTGTTCCACAATAAAATCAAAACGTTATAAGTTTTTGACTGCATCTGTGAGTACTTTGTCACGTAATGCCCAGCTCAGATGTCTGGATGTAGCATTATGCTGTTGAATAATGAAGTGAAAATCCATCGACGATTGATCAATCACTCGTCGTCCCTTTAAAGGAAGTAAAAATTTGTTTTTCGCACATGTCACGCATCCTCCTGGTTAATAATGATGATGGTGAAACAAATAATGCAACATCAACAACAGTAATGATAATAATAATAATAACAACAATAACAACAACAATAATAAAAATATTTATTTCGCGCTCGTTTGTCATCGTCGTGGCGATGTTAACGCGTGGCGCCATCTGCTTGCAGCCACTGGAGTCTGGTTACACACCGATGAGCAGTGCGCAGACAGAGACGACGTACGTGCCTCAGCCTGACCTCGTAGAAGCCATATCCCCGATGACCCAGGAGGAAGAAGAGGAAGCGGGAGAGGTCAGGGATGGCAGCGACGGAAGAGTTGGCTCATACAAGGTGAGAGTCGTGCCGCAGCTGTGTTATTACGTGGCTGAATGGTCCCTGACTGTTAAGCCTAGTGCAGACCTGCGATTTTTGGTTGCTCGTCCCAGCAACCTGCAACCGCAAGCAATGTGTGTGTGCACACATGCGATTTCAAAGCAATTCTAGAGCAATTTGGGAGCGATTGGGAGCGACGAGTCGCTCAAAATCAAAACAGTTTGATTTCTTGCAACTCGTCGCAAGCGACCAGAATCCAGAATTCCCGCAGACGTAACGATTTCACAGCAATTTCGACTGCGATTCTAGAATCGCTGTCGAGTTGCATGAAGAAGTCACAGGTCTGTACTAGGCATTAGCTGGTACACGGGGCATTGTGAACGTGTGTGTGCACCTGTGCTGATTGATTGACATCCCTTGCTGTGTCACGATTTTCTGTCAGCGAAAAAGTTCTGCTGGCTTTTCTAAGAATATTGTGCGAACATACGAACGAATGTATTCCTTTTAATTCGTTTCATGTCATTTCATCTGATTCTCCTGTTATCGCGAGAACACCTGACAACAACAGCAGCAGCAGCAACAATAACAACAACAACAACAACAACAACAACCATCACTTTCACAGTCACTGTCACAATCACTGTCACCTTCACAGTCACAATCACTGTCACCATCACAGTCACTGTCACCGTCACCGTCACTGCTGGGACTCGGCTGTGTGACACGTATGGCTTGCGTTGCAGGGCGACGGCAGGACAGGTGGCGCCCCCAACCTCGCGTATCAGCGACGCGACAGCGGGCACGGCAGCGACCTCTCGTATCAACGATCGCCTAACGGCACGCGCGACGGCACCACCGACTCGGGTACGATAACAATCTGTTTGCGCCCGTTGGGACGTGGGGGGATGATGATATGTGGCAGATGTTTATACAAGCGAATAAATAGTAAAATGTACCCTGTGCACCTCAATTGCATCATGTGCCATTGCTTGTATCTGTATGTGTGGGTGTGTGTGTGCATACGTATGTATATATATATATTAAAAAAACACCATTTGTATACCACCTATTTAAACTAATAGGCATATCAATCTCATCGTGTGTTTACTTTACGTGATGTTCGGATGACATAATGTGCATCAGGTCATCTGAGACGTCATACATTCGTGTAATAGCAAGTAGCATAAGCGCACGCAGTATCAAGTGGTAGTTACATGATAGCGTTAATATTAATTAGTTGATGTCACATGGTTTTCGTAATAACACCGAGTGAAAGCACCACACGTATGAACGGGTATTTATTAGTAACATCAAAGTTAATAAACGTCATCGTTTTACTTCAAAAAATAAATAAATTTTACGTTAATATTTATAAAACGACTGGATAATTGATTAACAGTCTGCGTGTGCTCGTCCCGCAGGTCTAGCCGACACCCACTACGTCACCATCGGCGACGACGACGACCCGCCCTCCAAGTACGTTCCGATGCCGCACCGCTCAGCCGACTCCGTCGCGTCCTCCCCCGCCGAGTACAACGGCACGTCGGCGCCCCCTAGTGCCGGCTACTCGCGCATGGCCGCGCACGACCTGCCGCCCTACGCCACGCTGCAGCAGCAGCAGCCGGACGTTGTCCTCAACCCGAAGCGACCGTCGCGAGATTTCATCGTCGGCGCCGTTACCGTGCCGACCGCTCCCGGCCTCCCGCCGCGCAACCTCGGCGGCGGCAAGCAGCCGGACGTGGAACTCACGACGATCGAGAAACCGAAGGGCCGCTTCGCGAGCGGCGATTCCGACGACGCCAATGCCCCCTACGCGCGCCTCGGCTGTAAGGGCGGTGGCGTGGCGGAGGGTTTGGCGGAAACGGAGATGGGAACGCCGCGTCGCGCGCCGGCCGCGCCGCACTACGCTCAACTCGCCCAGCTTTCCTCTGACTCCGGCTTCCCCGGTAACGGCGGCGCGTCCGGGTACGTCACCGAGGCGGAAGCGAGCAAGCTTGCGCCGGAGGCGCCGCCTGGCGGCACCGCCACGCCCGCTTCTCGCGTTCCGTGGCCGGCGGACGCGCGGGACGCGGATGTGGTGTCGCTGTCGACGACGTGCAGTGAGGATGCTGAGGATGAGGACGATGGGGATGCCGCGACAGCGTTCACGCCTCGTCTCCCGAGCGAAGAAAGTGTCGCCGGAGTCCCGGCGCCGCCGCCGGTCGCGAATTGCTGCAACGGATACGTCGAGGAAAGCGCCATGCCGACGATAGCCCCGCTCCCGAACGGACACTTACCGGCGCCCCCTGGTGGCGTGGCACCGACGAAGCAGCTGCAGGCTCTGCCGCCGAATGGCTTCGTTTTGAACAGCGGCGGTTACGTGCGACGCGGCAGCGACAGCGACACGGCGATGAGCGACGGATGCTGCGAGGATGAGGATGCTGCGTTCGACGACGACGTCGCCAAGACGACGCCGCGTCGGGCGTTTGCGGCGGACTCCGATGGGTATTGCACAGAGGCTGCGGCAGTCGGCGGCGGGGTAGCTGTGGGTTTCACGGCTCCCCGCGTTAACGGATGCGCAGCTCTGCCCACGACAGAGTTGTGACCGGCTGCTACTGCTGCTGCTGAGGCGTGAGGAGACCATGAGGTGATTCCACGAGATGTATGGAGAGTGAGAACAACGTTGCTGCTGCAAACAGCTGAACTGAATCGTTGTTCTCTCGTTCGTTCGTCTCCACGTCCACGCACCTTACGTTTGTCTCCCTGAGGGGAAGGTCGCAGCTGTGGTTCCCATCGCGTCGTTATCAATCGTAGACTTACGAGAAACGTACGAAACACTACTGAGAACGGCTGCCTAGAACCGTGAGCCGATGTTCCTTGACCACACGCGTGAGGAGAAGGTTGTTACGAACAACCGTGGTTCCGTCATCGTCATCGATCAAGGATTCCCTGTGGTGAGAGAGTAGAGAACGCTGCGAAATGCCGTCGCTGCGAACTGTAATCCTGGAACCTGTGAGTTGTTGTTCTCTCGCGCAATACTGCTCGCTCATTCTCGTGTGAGGACAAAATAGTAGGTGGCCATGTTTCTTCCCGTCGTGTTGTGATCGGTCTGTATAATACATTAAGTAGTACGTTAGAGTGACAGTAGAGAGAGAGAAAGAGAAAGAGAGAAGGAAAGAAAGAAACAGAGCGAGAGAGAGAGAGAGAGAGACAGCGCGATAGAGAGAGAGAGAGAGAGAGAGAGAGAGAGAGAGAGAGAGAGAGAGAGAGAGAGAGAGAGAGAGAGAGACAGAGACAGCGCGATAGAGAGAGAGAGAGAGAGAGAGAGAGAGAGAGAGACAGCGCGATAGAGAGAGAGAGAGAGAGAGAGAGAGAGAGAGAGCGCGCGATAGAGAGAGAGAGAGAGAGAGAG